AGAAACATTCGCCAGGCATTCACTAAAACCAAACACATCCATCAGATTGCCAGATTGTAAAGCAAGATTCATCACTCGAAAGAAGATTTTTCCACATGCTCAAAGTCCAATGATGCACTGAGGTTTGCACCATTGCAATCTATGCTTCGCATTCTGAGTAGTGATATTCAGCATGTGAGCAGCTGCATGACCATGATCTCAGATTTTTTAACTCTCAACAAAGAGTCGTGCTGCCAGCAATAATGCCTAATGAACTACGGAATTCCTGAGTTATTTCAACTAACGAGGACTTAAGATTTTGTTTCACTACCCTTTTCAGAGATCTATGGCTGCTTTCACTAATTTATTTTTGGCTTGCCACTTCGTTTTTCTGCAGTGTCACTGCCTTGATGTTTCCACTTCACAATTTCATCACTCACAGTGGATTTTGGTTTCTACAGAATGTCTGAAATTTTATGATCTGCTTTCCTACAAAGATGGCCTACTATACTGCCATGATCCAAGTCACTAAGCTTCTTTGGCTTACTCATTGTTTCACAAATGCATAAATGTGACCTGACAAACCAATACCAACACTTTTATAGCTTTCAGTTATGCATCAAAGTAGCTGTCAGATCCACTTCTTTAAACGGATATCCTGATACATTTGGCCAGATAGTGTAGCTACTATGTTTTATTTGTTGTCTAAATAAATTTTAGAATAAGTTATTAGTTAAAATGTTTTCTTTTTCTAACGTTGAAACTGCTTATGATTTAGAGCAGGGATGTCAAACTCATAGGTACACTTGGGCCAAACAAACAAGGTTTAACTTTAGGTGGGCCGCAAAAAAAAAAAAAAAAAAAAAAAAAAATCAAATCTATTCATAGAAATGTAGATTTATTTTGAATAATACAATAATAAACATATATATATATTTATATAGAAAAGAACAAGAAAAATTTAATGTTTACGTTCTGATACTTGACATCTCTTCTCTGCTGTTATCTTTCCTATTTCGGGAGAAATTTTGTTTGCAGTGATAACTTTCAACGCTGACCCAAGGTGAGCATCATTAATACGGTTTCTAATAGGAAACTTATTACCTTTCATGACTGAAAATAACTGCTTGCACCGATAAGTGCTACCAAACTTGGAAATAATTTCATATGCAAATTTTCGAGTATTTTCAAAGCTGGCTGGTAAATATTTGTAAAATTCAGGCATGCCCACTTCAATGAATTTTGCTTTCAAATTTGAGTTGCATTGAATCTTGATCACCTCCATTTGCATATGGCTGGGTACTGAGTCAATACTTATTGAGAAAATCGAAGAAAACAAAACAAACAAAAAAAAAAAAAAAAAAAAAAAAAAAAATTGTCTTCGAGGGAACTAAAATCATTAAACCTCGTTTCAAATTCAAATGTTAAATTTGCAATTTTTTCTGCATATTTTTGATACGAACAAGTATCATCTAAACTTGATTTGTTCATGCTGCACGTTAGGAAGTGTGTCAAACCTTCATTTTTAAGTTGTTTTTCCCAAAGAACTAGTTGACATTTGAATGCTTTAATTATGTCAAACATGTTCGTAAGGATATGATCTTTTCCTTGTAACGATAAATTTAAATCAGTTAAGTGTTTGGTTATATCAACCAAGAAAGATAAATCTTGTATCCATTATTGGATCGTAAAACAAACTTACGTCTTGATTTTTCGTTTTTAAAAACTGACATATTTCTTCTTTCAGATCCCAGAATTGTTTGAGAATCTTGGAGCAAGATAACCAACGTACCTCGGTATAGTAGGACAAACCCGAATATTCACTATCTAACTCTCACTTAAGAAAGCAGTGAATTGACGCTGATTTAAACCTCGAGATCTTATAAAATTTATAACTTTTTTTATATATGACAAAACATTCTCCATATTTATTACTTTCGTGCATAGAACTTCTTGATGTATAATACAATGCATATGATGAATGTTTGAACCGTGAATTTCACTAAGTTTTTTTTCTTAGTAATGCTACGAAGCCCTTGTTTTTTTTCCCGGTCATTGATGGAGCGCCATCTGTAGTTACAGAATTTAATTTTGCCAAAGGTAGATTGTATTTCTGCAGAAGTCCAAAAACACAAGTAAATATATCTTCTCCTGTGGTAGTACCAGGCATCGGTATTAGTTCCAGTAATTCCTCAAAAATGTTAAAATTCTTGTCACAAGAATGAAGAAATACTGCTAATTGAGCTTTGCCACTAATGTCCGTGCTCTCGTCACAGGCAATGGAGAAACTTTCGAAACTAGATGATTTTGCTTTGATCTGATCACTTAAATTCGCGGCTAAATCAGTAACTCTTTCCGCAACTGTATTTCGAGACAATGAAATTGATTGAAAAGCCTTCACATTTCCAGGACAAACAATTTCTCCAGCTTTCATTAGGCATTCCTTGATGAAATCACCGTCAGTAAAAGGCTTCGAATGTTTAGCTATCAACTCGGACAAGACGTAGCTTGCATGTACCGCCGCTTCACTTTCTTGCAATACTTTACTAAACATGGACTGTTGCTTTTTCACTCCTAACTTGAGCTCTTTCAACTTTTCTTCTCTCATTAATCCTTCGTAATTGTTATATTTCGATTTGTGTTGTTCGTAATGACGTTTAATATTATATAACTTTGGTACATTAATAGTATTATTACATATCAAGCAGATTATTTTATCTTTTATTTCACAGCAAAAATATTCTAATTCCCATTTTACTTGGAATATTCTATGTTCGTCCGCGATTTTTCGTTTAATTTTACTACCACTTGGTTTTGATATAGACATACTGAATACAAAGGGCTGGAATAAACACGGTTAACGTTAAAAAGTTAACAAAAATTTATTCTTTCCACAAGAGATAAATCAAAATGCTGAAATATTTCTTCAAAAATATTCTAACAATATCACAAAATGTCAAACGTTTAGCAAAAATCAATTCAAAACAGAGAAACTAATTCTATCTCACAGCGAAATCGCTACAAATCAAGAAGTATTAAGTAAACAAACAGTTCAGCATTAAGTAAACAAACAGTTCACTAGAACTACAGCTACTACTGAGATGAGTTGTTTGTTCTCGGCTTTTATAAGCTTTATAATTAATTTCTCGAATATACTGGAAACATCTATAAATATCTGGATTTTTGTGGATGGCAACAGCAATTACGAGATATTTATTTATTAGGTATTAAATGCACGCGCTGTTCTATTTTTAACCTTCCAACGCAGCTGTCTTTTCAAAAATCGTCTGCGTTGCTAAGGCAACATGAAGCAAATCTAATTACAATTCTAAATAAAAAAAAAAATTAAATAAATAAATAACTATGAAATCCGTAACAATATGAATTAAGTAATAATTAAGTAATAATAAAGCAAAGTGCATGCACATGCATGCACCAATATATCGTACAAAACTATGATTGGAAAACTGAGACCATGAGTTCGGCCACATTCGGCTATCGGGGGATGCGTACAAGTTCTGAGTGCACGTGTCCCCCAAAAGCCGAAGGTAGCTGAACGCAAGCTACTCACACGCATTTGTAATTTAAGTAGTGTGTGTGTCAGCTCGCTGTGAGTAATCTAACAACACTGAATAAATTATCGTTAATTACTTAGCAGTAAACATTTCATTTTTTTTTTCTTCGTCGATATGTTATTTTATTATTATATATTATTATTTGCCGATATATTGGCCAGGCCACAAAAATATTTGTTGTGGGCCGCGAGTTTGACATCCTTGATTTAGAGGCTGTCAGTTCAATATGTTGGCCTGGATACTGTAGTGTTTTATAATTTGTTACATGCAATATCTGCTATGTGAATGTACTATTCATTCATAACGTGATGTGCTTTTGGCTGCTTCAAATTCTTAAAGCTCTGAGAGCTTCTTTAAATAAGCCATCTTTGACAGCTTGTGCAAATAAAATAATTTCCACCAATTTATTACTGCAAATTAAAATAAAAACTGTATCCAAAATAAAAAAGTTAGTCAACAGTAAAATGGAGTATAAACAAAACTGAGCAAAGATTAAGGAATTAAGTGCATGGTCACTAGTTAGAATGATTACTTGAAGAAAATGTTTTTTTGAAATGCTGATATATCTTTATTGTCATCGTTTTGACAGCAATTAAGGGCATGGTTGCTAGGTGGAATGATTGGTACTTGTGGAAAATATCTTTTTGAAATTGCTGACATATCTTTATTGACACCTTTTTGGCAGCATTTATTTTAATTAATTTCTCTTAGAAGTGCATCTTATCGTTTATTCTCTTTAATCAAATATAAATGTGAGGCTTTTGAATCACAAAACCCTCTCAGAACTCTGTTCTGTAAAATTTTACACATAATTTATTAAATAGGTGGACTATTTATCAAAACTATTTACATTCCAAGAACCAATCTCTCCCTGCCAGCTGAACCTCCAATTCAACACATGTTAATATGCATACTTCAGTTTCTTATCTAATACTTCAAGCGTTAAGTGAAAAGTCATTGTCTATATCAAAAATAACTTGCTGATCATACTGAACTTTCAATTATTAGCAAAGAAAACTATAAATGCAGCAATTCCAATAATTTACCTTGCCCCCTCCCCTCAATAAAAAAGAGCAAGCTAAATTTTGTAATTATTTTATATAATTTTGAGAAATCAGAAGAGGAGTGACTTCATGAAATGATATAATCAAACATTTATTAATTAAAAAAAATAGATTTTTTGCTTCACTGATGAAATGATTTTAAAACAGTATGTGTGTATGTCTGTATGTATGTATATCACATTTAATGTTCTAAATTATTTGAAATTATATCAGATTTTTACTCAATAGTAATTTTCAGGATTTTTGAAATGGAGTCACCTCTGTGGTACATACATCCATGCCATATTTTGAACTTTTTCTTAGATTATGGGCACATTTTTCAATGTAGTGTTTATTAATTATTGTACTTTAAAATACTTACGTCTGTGTACTATTAATGCAGCTGGTTCAAGATACTGGCAGTCTGGTATATTTGAAGTCAGTAAAAATGAAGTTCCAGAGACTCCAGCTCCTTCACCTAACAACATGCCAGTTCGAAATAATGCCATAAAAGTGACATTACCTAATGAATTGGAAGGTGTCAGTTATATTCAAGTATCTATTCAAAATGGTAATTATCTTTTAAGTCTTAAATTCGTATCCTTTAAAAAAAAAAAAAAAATCTAGCATGTAGTGTAAGTAGAAAATGTACCTATATGGAAGGTACACTGTCAGTGTTTTATGTAACTTTAAATAATTGCAGTTCAATCAAGCTATGTTTTTAAAGAAAAATTAAACTTTTGTTCATTTTATAGATGCTTACTATGAGCCCATTTTATCCTGCGATAGATTGCCTAGTTCTAGAATAGGTTATTTGAATATGATGAGCCACAAGGACTCTCTGCCTAACAGAAGGGATGCCTTTGTGGAGTACTTTCTAAGAAAAATTAGCTCATTCATGTTTCACATGGGGAAAACTACTAATGTAGCCAGCTCATTCACCAGAGATTGAACTACCAGTATTCAATGGTGTTAATCACTCATCCACTGTTGAATGACTGCCTAGTGATGCAATAAGACTGCCTATACTAACATATGAGAACCAATGATTTTCTCTTTGTGAATGTTTTTGTGGATTTCAAAAGTGTAAAATCATTATTATATTGGTATTTGTGGTAATAGATTCTTTGAGTGTCACTTCTATTGCGTGCTAAGTCATGACTACAAGTTCATAAAAGTGAATATGCGGTAACCTGTAGAAGTTTCTATTGCTTCAAAATGCAAATTTTGTTTTGAAAAAAGTAAAATCATGCATTTGAAACAGCAGTTTAAAAAAATAAATATAAGAGCAGAGCTTAATGTTTGCTCATTTGTAGAAAGCTTGCGGAATGTCATATGAAGAGGACAGCTTCTTGTTGGGGAATTGTTGATTAGAAAGATTGAATTTGGTTTATAAACAGATATATATGAGTAAAAGTATTCAAGTTGTTATGGAAAAAATTTATCTAAAATGATGTGGTGTAATAATGAAACTAGTAGTTAAGTGATGTATGGCATGTAATAAAAAATGCTTAATTTTCACAATATTGCATGTCTTTTCCATAATCTGTGATTTTATTTTTCTGTAAAATGTAAATATTATAGTTTAATGAAGTCATGTTCTATTGATGATGCTATTTATTCAGCCAGTTGTTATTCTAACATTAGTGTAACATAATTGCATATTTCATCTGTATTCAGATACTGAAACCATAGCAAGTGGAGAACTGTCCATTCCACTGCCACATGGTGCTCTTGCACAAGCTGAAACCCACTGGCAACAGAAACTTGAAGCTGCACAGAATGTTTTATTTTGCAAAGAGTTGTTTTCTCAAGTAAATAATTATGTTATTATTATTATTTATCCTTAAATCAAATAAATACACAATTATGTAAGATTCTTTGGTTTAAAAGGAAATTTTTATATCTGATGTATTACTTATCCTTAAATCCTTAAATTTTTTGAATAAAATATCCTGTGATTTCACTTCATTATGTTTTTGTATGTATTTGGTTTCCATGAATTTAGCAGTTTAGCTTTTTTTTTTTTTTTTTTAATGCAGTTTATTTTGGTATGAAATTATTTAAATGGTGCATTTTTAAAAGTCTGTTCCAGAATTTAATTTTTTTTTAAATTGCTAAAATTCAAAAAAAAAAAAAAAAAAAAAAAAAAATACACATATAATATATATAATAAAGGGCCAACTCTTTTCAAAAGTCTCAATTATAGCCCGAATTTAGTGAAGATTTTAATCTTCTTCTTCTAATTTTCCATACTTTAGCCAGTATGTAGTTAAGTTTTGATATACCAGTTGAAATCAAGTTCATTAAACTTTCAATATTTTCTTTCATTAAATATAACTTTTAATTAACTTTTTTAAGGAATTTTTGGGAGATTTCTGGGAATTTTTTTAGAGGTTTTTTAAGGAATCATTTCAAAAAATTTTTACTACAAATAAATTTTGGAAAATTTTTTAAAGATATTTTAAGACTTTAAAATTTTAAATTTTACTTTAAATCTTTAAAAAAAATTTTTAAACATTTCAGTTTTACTTAATTACTTTTTAATTATTTGCAATTTTCACAAAAAAAAATTCACTTAACATTATTATTTGCAATATTTACACAATTTTGCAACAGAACACACATTTCACATTACAAACAGTTTACATTTATTAATTCACAATAACCACTTAACTCTACTTTACTTCAATTAGTACTCTTTTTATGATATTTGCAAAGCTAACTTACATCTCTTAATTGGCTGAGCTACTTAACTCCCTACCATAAATAGTTGATCAGTTAAAATTAAAACTTGAATTACGTACTTTTAGGATATTTATTTTTTTCCTAGATTTATATTTAAATATTTTAATATTAAAGTTTGCAAAAAATTTTTAATAAAACAAAGATAGCAGCTTGGCACTCAATTTTACTTACATAAGAGCCATATATATAATTTGAAAAGCACACTTACATTACTTTGGAAATACTTTTGCAGACCCCAACGCTAATATAGTAGGTAAGTTAGAATTAAAACTTACTATTTACTTGCTTTAAGTATTTAAATATCTTTTATGTAGTATTTAAGAATTTTCTAGATATGAAATTATATTTTTAAGTATATATTTGTTTTTTAAAAAATTATGAATTAGTTCTTTTTGTTTCTTATTGGTTTAGATAAATTATGTCTAGTTCCTTTTTAGTTTCTTTTTATTGATATGCATATTCGTGTCGGGGAGGTTTCTGTACACAAGGGTTTCTAAAATGCATTGGTTTCTAAATTAATTTTTCTGAAAAATTAATTTTAAAAAAATTTAATTTTTTAAAAAAGTTTAATGTAATACTTGACTTTACATTGCTTATTTCTCAAAAAATTCATTGGTATTTTCCTTTTAGAACTTTATTTTTTAATTGCTAATTTCTAAAGGTACCACTTTATTGGTATTTCTTTTTGGACATTCTTCACTCTTTACTTTTGGTTTTGACTTTTACCCTTGCCTGCATGAATGACAAAACACGAATTGAATGATTGGAGAGTTAGGTTTGGAGGCAACTTCCCCTTGATAAGTCTGTCTCCTGCCTGCTCAACAGTCATTCACTTATGCATTAAAAAAAAAAAAAAAAAAAAATTAGATTAATTTTAATTTGCTAAATTGGTGAATTTATTTTCATGGTTTGGTTTTGCACTTGATTTACTTATGCTATCTGAATTTAAATGATATTGTAGATTAGTTCAGAAATGAAATCTTTTATATGTTTACACATTTTTTAATTATCACTTTAAATTTGCTTTTTTACATATATACATGTTTGTTAAAATTTAAATTTGTTTAAATATATATATATTAATAAAACTTTGTAGTTTATATTTTCTCTGTTTTATTTTACAAAATTAACACAATTTTTTATCAAAACATGATTTTATCTGGTACTTTTAAAGCATTCAGAAAAATTGATTAAAAGAACTAACAGATGGCCAAATGTGATAAAAAATAATTTAGATAATATGAAAATGTATTTATGGGAAAACTGTGCAATACTTTCTTCATGTAGAGTACAATGTCCAGAAGGTGTCATTGAATAAAATCAATTGACAGGGTTCGTAGCGGTCCTTATAAGTGCTTATAAGTCCTTATATTTAAAAATAAAATATAAAAGCCCTTTTAGGTGCTTACTTTTTCTTTAAAGCCCTTATTATTTTGTTTTTAGTGTTTATTTTTTTGCTTTTAGTGTTTTTTTTTTTTTTTTAATGAACACGCTATTTTTCCCCGTACCAAAGCCGAAACTAAATAAACTTTTCTTCCTAATACGGAATGTCAGATGGTGAACTAAATAAACAACTTTTCTTCCTAATATGGAATGTCAGATGGTGAATCATACTCCCGGAAATAGCTTTTCCCCTTTCTCTGCATTAACATAACCTTTGGTGTGCACGAAGAGTGCAGACAGGTGCCCGTCGTTCTATTGGTCAAAGAATTGCGAAAGCAGTAGAAAATTTCGGTGCATTCAGCATTCTTTTCCTCCCACCCAAATACTACACACATTTGAATTTCTATCAAGATCTTAAAAATTTGCATTTTTGTTCTGCTTGGTCAGTTCGTGTTTATTATGGTCATTATGCGTATATTATGAGCATATGTATGAATGTTTATAATAACATAGTTGCAGTAACTGCTGAAGTATAGTAAACTTCGCAAAATGATTGTGTTTTAACACAGATTAGCTTTCTAAGGAATAATATTCGGAATGGCTTAAATAAAGGGAAAGTAATCGAATAGTCAAAATAATTTAATTTTTTTGGCCAATACATTATACAGTACGAAGGTTGGGAGGTCTCCCCTTTCTCCACAAAATCTTGAATATTGAAACTGTTACAGTTCGCTGCAAAACAAGCAACGGACTTTTTTTTTTTTTTTTTTTGTTTGTTCACTTTCCAATGTGGATTGAATAGGACTAAAAGTTCTGCGGTCTACCAACCCAAGCGAAGAATGATTCTATTCCGGAAATTTAACGCCGTCTGTTGAAAATTAGAATGAAAAACACCCCAGTTATTTAGTTCTTTATTCTCCCAATACCGGCAGTTGTTGATTCCGATTGCGTAATATCACATAGGGAAGAATTACGGTGCACGTATTGCGCAATAACGTTTGCGATATTTTGCAGAGATAATTAATTTTGATGTTCAGTCCGAGATTTGTTTATGAACACTTAAAAGAGTTTTACTGTGCTTGTTAAGCAGAATATTTTTTACTTCCGTTTGTTTATTTTTATATGATGCACATATTGAAGTATAAAAAGCATTTATTTAGCGGAAAAATCTAAAGAGCGGTTACTCCGCTCCTTCAAGTTACGCTTGACTGTCCGAATATTCGCCAATTTCCAAGCAAGCGGGTTAATTAAGCTTTTACTGTTAAAGATGACTGCATGAAGCAAATTTCTGTCTTCTGATTTCAGAAATGTTCCTCTTTTTTACTTAAATTACTTTGCTTGCAATATCTGTTAAGAGAAAATTGATATACAATGAAAATTTAGAAAATGTTCAGAATTTAGATTTAAATTATTTAAATATGAGTGGAAAAATAAATTGTATTTATTATTAGGTTCCAAGCGAATACAATAAATATGCCTTATTATGATTTATTTTCTCTATTTTGAACTGAAATTTCATCATTAAATCTTGTAATATAGTTTAGTTCTTCATAGTTTTTTTTCCTCTCATTGTAAACTAGTTCTGTAAATTGAACTATTATTTAAAATTAAAAACAAAAACAAAACAAAAAAAAAAGTAATTATTTTCCATGGTTGAGGTAATGCTTATTCTTTCTTAATAAGTACTTCATTTCTCATATTTTAAATTACAAGTCTAATTTTTAAGGTTATGCAGTTGTGTATGATGTAATTAGACAGGTGCTTATTTTTTTTCTTAAAATGTGCTTGAAAAGTGCTTATAGGTGCTTATTTTTTTAACTAAAATGTGGCTATGAACCCTGATTGATAAGTGTATGTAAGAGGTATTTTTCACAAATTTTGTAATCTTGAATTAGTGACATACTATTTTCTTTATATCTGTATCTACTCACATTGTGTCCACAAAAGGCCCTTATTTTTTTCAGCTGTTGGTGGTGTGCATATACTTCCAGTTACAAAAGTGTTTTAAGTAATGCAAGTATTTATATCATGGTATTTTTAAATTTAAAGTAACCATTTTTATAAAATATACAAAATTTAACTATTGTATGTTCCTCCGTATATTTCTGAAATTTTTTTACTCACTGTAAAAAAATATAACGCAAAAGTTTGACTCCCATGTGACAAAAGTAAGACTCAGGTATTCAATATTAAAAGTGAAGATCATATCCAAGGTCTATACACAAAATAAAGATTGAAATGCTTGCATTTGTACACAACTAAAAATAAAATTCCAGTTTAGAAAAAGGCTTCTGATCTTAAGATATCAAGAAATGAGCATTTTTATGCAGACTTTTATGAAAAAGTATTGGTCAATAAGAAAAAAAATTAAAGAAATATGTTACTCACAAAATCTTATAGAAATCATTTTCTAAAAAACACTGGCATTCTTCATTATTGGCACATAGCCAACCCGTTACGTTATTTATATCAACTAAAACTGAAAATATTTGTTCTTTATGAATTTTTTGTATGATTGTCAGATTATGATTTTAAAGTAAAAAAACTTCATGAAAATATTTGTAACTTTTTTTTAGACTTTGGAAACTGATAAATTACTTCTATAAAAATTCTTTCAGCATAACAAATGTAGCAGAATTATAAATTAAAGGCTTCAATAAATAATAAAAGACTATTATTTAAG